TTCTTGGTTTCGTGGTTCGGGCAGTCGCGAGCGTAACCGGGCTTGCCACACGTAAAGCAGGGAGGCGGTCCGCGCCTTTTCTTCGCGCGAGCGGTCATCGCGACTTCCGAGTCGTTGATGCGGCTGGCGTGCTGCCTGATGCGCGCCACTATCTCGTCCGCGTCCGCGAGGTCCTTGGTGTGGTTGATCGAACTCACCATGGCGTCCCAGCTCTCGGGCAACGCCGTCAGTAGTGTGATCGAAAACTCCTCGTCCGTGAGGTCGTGTCCCATGGTCGCGAGCGTTTCGCGCAAGCGGACCATTTCCTGTAGGAAAACTTCTACGTCTTCTGAATCCGAATATCTTGCTTGTAGTAGCTTTCGGCGAATTTGCACGACGTGCAAAATTCCCTTCGGCTCGTAATTCTTGACGAGGCGATTCCAGGCCTCCGCACTAGAACTACAACGAGTTAGCGTATGAACCAATGATTTGCTCACCCGCATTCGGATGGCGATCAGCGCGTTCCAATCCTTCTTTGCCCATTCCTCCAAGAGCTTCTTCTCCGCTTCCGTCGGGGCCGTCGCGACCGCGGGCTTCGGCTTGCCGTTCTCGGCGACATAGTCCCACAGTCCTAGCCCATACAAAAGATCCTCCATTTGGACCTTCCAGGATGCCCAGTCCTCAACTCCGGTGAGCGGGTCGATCCGAATGCGGCCGATAACGTCTGCGGTGGACATGTTCTTTTGTTTGACAGATTAAGATAAGATAAGCAGTGGTGCGTAGAAATCCTCAGTTAGAGCCTAAGCAGGGCTCATAACCTGTTAGAGTTCAGGCGTGAGAGTGATCGAGAGAAAAGAAGAGAAGCTGATGATTGCAATGGAAAGGAAGCCACGACATATATACATAGTGTAGAGTAGCAAAGCGTAGTGGCGCTTGACTGGCACGTCAAGCGCTGCAACAGTGATACAAAGAGCAAACAAACAAAGAAAAGACGCGTGAGGTCCGTACTACAACAGTAGTCAGCGACCTAAGACAGTCCCATTCACCGCCCCAGACCACAACACCGTCCCGTCGGGGGTAAACGCAACATGCGACACCTTGTCACCGTGGTCGGAGAGCGTCGCCAAGCACGATCCGTCACTCGTCCTCCACACCTCACCGTCTCGTCTTCCGATGCAGAGGCGATATAACTCCCGCATGGCGAGAAACATACCTCCCACACCCTCGACTCGTGTCCCCCTAGTGCATGGACCATAGCACCTGTGTGCGCATCCCACACCTTCATCGTCTGTTCTTTCGACGCTGAGAGCAACAGCCGACCATCCGGGGAAAATACCACATCATAGACCCAACCGTGCGTCTTCAAGACTAGAGACTGCTGTCTGGTCGCCATGTCCCAAGTGCAAATCGTCCGATCCGCATATCCAACAGCGACGCGTGCACTCTCCGAGCTGAATGCGGCTGCCGTAGGGTACTCGCCATTACTGAATCCCCAGAATTCGAGTGCGAAATATGCACCAGATAGAACGTCCCAAACTCCGCAGGCGTTCCCGTTATGGATAAGCAGCCAGCGGCTGTCAGGGGAGAATAGGGGCTCGACGAGTGTCGTCTTTTCGGCGCCATCTAGGGGTAGTGGCTGGAATGTTCGTGCATCCCAGAGCCTTAGAGTGCCGTCGATGTCTCGGGATGCAATGTAAGCGCCATCGCTGGACCACGCGCAATTGCTGCAGGGAGCAGCATGACCTTCGAGAGAGGCGACTTGGAGTGCGCTGCCGCTGATGTCCCAGATTGCGACCTTCCCATCTCCACCTGCGGACACGATGTATCGGCTGTCTGGAGAGAATGCGAGATCCCAGACGTATCCGTCATGGGCGATCCACTCTTGTGAGATACATGCACCCCGGGCATCCCAGATGATGACAGTGAGGTCACAGGACGCCGTCGCTACCCAGCGCCCATCTGAAGAGGTGACAAGCGTGGTGACGCCCGCGTCATGCCCAGGTTTACCAGCTGAGCTGCCCCAGCCAATGTCCACCTCATCATCATGCGTATTGAACGAGACTCACAGCATTTGATGTCTGCCATCAGCGTCCAATTCGCGCTTAGCGGACGAAGCAGCCTGCTGAACTCGTCGGACCAGGAGATCGTCTTGCGCGCATTCAGGATTCCCTCGAGAACAGCGAATAGTACGCGGTGAACAGGAAAGCCAAGCAGGACCTTCTCCATGGCTGCAAAGAGCTCCTGGGTGACAGATCGACGACATTGCATGTACAGATATCCAACGTCGTAATCCCAGAAGACTAGAGTGATGTCTCTTATTGCTGTCTGTTGCAAATCGCGCAAGAAGTGTATGGCATGTTGGACATTAGCGGTATTGACTTGTATCCACCATGTTAAGGAGGTCTGGCGATCCTTGCCTGATTGAGGAGGTGGCATAGAGGATACCTCTGATTTGGATGATATGAGTGATACAACTAGGAGACACAATGAGATACTGACGAGTATGCTTCGAAATCGCAAACGGACCAGCGACTGCGCGAACCAGCGCCTCTATGATGTATACATCCACATCTTTAAGTATCTGAATGGAAACCGAGAGAGTTACAATCACGGAGCATAGATGATCATGATCACGCTCACATTCAGCGTTCGTGTCACGGACGTTGGACAGACGCCCCTTTTTGCCGCCCATTCCCTTCCCTTTGACGCCCATCTTCCATTTCCGGACCGTTTCCTTTCCTAGCTCATCCCAGTTTGGACACTGTAGATACGTTCCCACAGCCGCATGCTACGTTCCCGTGATCGCCATGCCCTTGCCTTTTCTTTCTCGTCCTTTGTTCTCCCTTTGTCATCTTCACTGCCTCGCTCTCGCGCCTTGTCCTTGGTTGCTAAGCAGCCCCTCTAGTATATAAGGACCCCCCTAGGCGCTCCCTAGTCCCCATCTCGACCTCTTGGTCATTGGGACTAGGTG